AATCGGTAACTAGTAACGGTAACTTGTTACTTTTCCTACTCGGTAACGAGTAACTGTAACTTGTTACTTTTAAAAAGTAACTTTCCATTCCCTGTATAATAATAATATAATAATAATATAATAGTTGCAGACAAAGTAAATTTTCAATATATCATGCAGCGTATATAACCATGATGATATATAAATATCTTGTTTGCACATAAGTTATATTTTCCACAACAAAAAATCCAAAAAAACAGGAAGAATGAGAATCAGTGGTAGTTAATACGCAATCTTAAATCTTTATCTAGAAAACAGAATCTTTATTCTAAAAAAATAGTACGTTTCAGTTCACTTTGGAACCATCCTCAGCAATTTCAAAATATCAATCCCTTCATGTCCAAGAAAAAATCACCATCAGATTTGATGCTGTAATCCGAAGGCATAGAAGGAATTCATCTCGACATTGGATCAAACCAATTGCACTTTATATTCACTATATGTATAAAGAGTATCGAGTTAAAAAATGCATGTTGATCGCAGCTCGAACGAAACATGACTACATATATTTATATATTATATTTTCCAATTTGTATTTTATCTAATTGTAAATATGCACAAAGTGTGTGTGTGTAAAAATATATTCTACAAAAACATCTTTATTAATATCTTAATTTCTCACACTAAAATCATTACAATGTACATACGTCATAAATGCAACATTCTTAATCTTTATTTATTTCCTTAAGTCAATTTTCTTCATAAACCATTTTCTTCCGAAATAAGATGTGCAATATAATGTTTAATAAATCGTGCAGACGGATCGGTAACGTCCTCCACCCAGCGTGGCATCCAGAAGTAAGGTGTAAAACTTTCCGCTTGTCCCTCATAATGCGATTCAAAGACTTTTCTAATAAAAGCAAAAAGAATAATACATCATCCAGTTCAGTCGAATGACGGAAAAGTTTGCTCACTAGAAAGATATTTCTATTTTATTACCTGTAGTAGTACGCTTCCTTCGTTCTTGGAGTGCAATGGGGATACTTGATATGAGCATTCTCCAAGTCCTCATTTGAAACACGATCTTCTACGATTTCTTGGATTATTTGGAAAAGAGATTTCTTCATGGAAGCAACGCCGTCACTGAAAGCCTCTTTATGCCTCAAAAGTATATCGTTAGGCAGTAAACCAGTTTCGTGAAACGCAGATCTTAACAAATGCTTTTCAATCATTCCATCTGTGCACATAAAAAAAAATATCAAATAATATTATTATTATTAGTAGTATTTACCAAAATTTTCATTTATACACTAATAAATAATTTAATTTATAATATTTATCATTTGCAACAATAAGTCTATTCTTTTCAGCTAAACTTCTTGGACAATTCAACAGATTCAGCTTTAAAAAAAAAGAAAAAAATGAATAAGAAGTTTAGCTAAAAAGAATAGGCTTAATATTTAAGTCCATTAAATCTTTTACTGTATGGTTGTCTACTGCTAGGCTCCAACGATAAATAATAGTTGGTGAACTGAAGATCTAAAAACGGAACTCTGAGTTCCAAACTGAAGGCACTGGTTGTTCTATCTGCTCTCAAACCATCGTATAAATATATATCCTGTAATAATCTAATAGATTCGTTGTGTGCTTCTATTGCGTGAGGTGCATCTCTGAAGTAAATGTAACCTTGTGCCAACTCATCCGCACCTTCTCCACTAAAGATCACAGTTGTATCGGTATTCTGTTTTATGTATTTTGAAATGAGATACATCCTATAAGTAAAACATTGCAGTGTTATATACAACATGTTTCACCAACACAGCTTTGATTGTAAGTATAAAGCACCTCCAGAAAGTATAAACGTTTCATCTCAAAACGTTTTCTGTATCGAACGAAAAATAAATTATGGATGCTTTATATTTAAGACTGTAGTAGATTATTTTTTTTAGTCTAAAAAAGTAGTAAGAAAAGAAAAAAAGAATTACATGTCAAAATTATCTTTTCCTACGACTTTCAAATTTATAATATTAAATAATTTGGAAACTAAATTGCATGCTTAAATAAAGTACTTCACCCAATTGAAGCGCGAACAGTAGTAATGTCGTATGTTTCTAAAGAATATATGACATTGTCCAGTACGTTGATTACATCTTGCTGAGTAAAGATAATTTCATGATGCTCAGTTCCAATGTATTCTGCAACCTGTAACATAAGAAATTTCAGTCTTCATACGATTGTCGACGGAAAAAGCGAAAGAATCAAAGTATCAAAACTTCCACGAACCTCTCTAGCAGCGATGATATCTGGACTGTCACTCATACCTATCGCGAAGCTCTGTATCTTGTACGTTAAACCACATTTCATCGCTTTCTTTACCAATAAAGCAGCAATCAAGCTAGAATCTAATCCACCTGACAATAGACATCCTATTCGCCTATCAGCCATCAGTCGTTTCTTCACGGCTGCTGAAAGCAGCTTTCGGATGTTGCCAAGAACATCATTTGGATTCAAAGCTGTAATAGATAAAAATTTTCATATACTTTCGATATACATATTGCATATTAATTAGTAAATTTGTGTTAACGATAGATAAATTTGTTATACGATAACTGAATATCGATTATAATTTATCTCACCATTCCAAGAGATATATGGGGGGAACGAAGGTTTGTCGCCGGGCTCGAAATAACAGCGACTCTCCAGAAGCTTAGTTCGACCATCTTCCAAAATTTCATATTTCTCATAATGTCCTGGAGAAAATGGCTTTAGCGTCCACTTACTTTCTATGTATTTCGATATTGCCATCAGACCCTAAAATATTATCTTATAAATAATTATATGTAATTAGCGCACACACACACACACACAAGGAATTTTGTAATCAGGAAAGTATATTTTGTGCTAAAGAAACATAGAATCCTTGGTATCTACTAAAGCTTTTTGTTATTAGTTTTAAAAGTTTTAACATTTATAAAAAAAACCGTAATCCATGAACTTAGCATAAATATATAGCACAATAACACAGATCGACAATAATTT